ATACCACACGACTGAGTGCATCTATACCACACACCCTAGCATCTGTACCATACCTGTCTATACCACACGACTGAGTGCATCTATACCACACACCCAAGTATCTGTACCATACCTGTCTATACCACACAACTGAGTGCATCTATATCACACACCCGAGTATCTGTACCATACCTGAGTACCTGTACCACACACCCGAGTATCTGTACCATACCTGTCTATACCACACGACTGAGTGCATCTATACCACACACCCTAGCATCTGTACCATACCTGAGGACCTGTACCACACACCCGAGCATCTGTACCATACCTGTCTATACCACACGACTGAGTGCATCTATACCACACACCCTAGCATCTGTACCATACCTGAGTACCTGTACCACACACGCGAGTTATCTGTACCATACCTGTCTATACCGCATCTACATGCGTGTACCACAGACATAAGATTATCTCTACCAGGTTATACCACCCCTGAGAGTATCTCTATCATTGTTTAACCTTAACATACACCTGAGAATATCTGTGCCACACTCACGTCCATCTGTACTAACCTACGCATGTCTGTACTCTGCACTTAAGTATTACTCGTACCATACCTGAGTGTATCACACCCATGTGCATCTATACCACACACCTGAGTGCATCTGTACCATGCACGTGTGCTTCTCTTCCCCGTGCTTGGGAGGTACTGAGAAGCCCACGCTTTTATTAGAGGAACAGCCCTTCCTTCCTAACCAGAGAACATGAGACCCTTACCCATCCCCAACCAGACCGTGTTAAAATTCTGCATACCTTTCCTTCCCCTTCCGGAATCAGGGGTGCAGGACTCATCACATATTTATACAGTTCCTTCTCTGTGGCTGACACAGCAAGAGAACAGGTCTCTCAGTGTCCACTGTGTGGCATCCGTGGAGCTCAAACACCAACTGCGTACTGGGGGTAGGTGCTTCACCAAGGCCACGAGCTGCTCTGAGGCCAGCTCAAGAGGCGGTCCAGGTGCAGGGAGAGGGGAGGGGCTGCCACGTGCACAGGACAGAGCACAGCAAGGCTGATGGACAGCCACATGGGCCACCCTCACTCCAAGCTGGAGGTCTCTGCAGGCCTGGGTCAAGGGAGAAATGAGCAGCGTCTTCCGAAGGCACCTCTTGTGGCCACAGTGTGGGGAAGGGGAGTGGGCAGGCAGCAGAGGGGGTGCATGGCCTGGGGGTGAGGGCATGGGGTTTATTAGCTGGGAGACTCTGAGTCCAAGAAGTCTGTGAGAACCCAGAGAGAAGCCACCGAGCACCTCAATGGGTGGGCCCTGGGTCTGCAAGTCTCTTGGAGTCAGAATTTGGGGTATGGGGTCAGATGGAGCTCGCTGAAATGGAACTTGGGGTCATGTGCTGGTGTTGCATCATGAGCATGTTGATGCCTGGAGAGGCACCCAACACGGAAAGTGGTAGAAATCCCCAAAGACACCTCCACATGGGCCATCCCCCACTGAGCTCACAAAGCCAGTCCATGAGCCCCATAGATTCTTTACCCCAATCCCACATATTGTGATCAGTGGTGTTCTGACCTTTCTAATCAGATGCCACAGATAAACCCAGAAATGGCCCCCTCCCAACCAGCACAGGCCAACAAGACCTCTGTGGGACACCAATTTCAGATGTCCCAGACCCATTTATAAATCACTGGACACCCATCCAAATGTCCTCACAACCACCGCCCCAAATTCTGGTTTGGGGAAGCACGCTGAAGGGAGGAAAGAGGCAGAAAACAGCCTCAAGTGATCCCGCAAGGGACAGGGTGAAGGAAATGGCTGTATGCCGACAGCAGGCAACGCAGACAACCACTCCAGCTGCCTGCACCCCACTTTCATGTTCAAAAGCCACAATTAACAGATCATTGCAGGGCAGGACTCAATCATCGTAATAACAGAAACCCACACACTTCTAAACCAAATCTGGATTTATATGTTCAAGGAAGTTTTTATGAAATTTAAACTAACTCCTGTCACAAAGGATGGCGGTATCCTTGGATTTCCCATAAGCAGACTCAGGTGGACACCCCAGAAGGTGTCCTGGACCCCTGCGAGCTCCCAGGTGAGTATATCTGACGCGGACTGGGACAGGGGGTGCATTTGCTTTATTGCTTATGTTGCATATTCAAACAAATACAATAAACCCCTTTTTAAAAAATGTAAGGCACATAAAAGCCTCTGTGCAGGTTCCGTATTATCTTTAAATTCCTAATGGCTAATAAAAGTATTTCCACTATAGACCTGGAGCTATCTAGAAATGCACATGATGAATTTTTTGCATGCAGGATACCTGAAACATTATCATATCTTACCTCATGGCACCACTGAACAGTCTCAAATCAAATGTCTGTATGTGAATAATGATTATAACTATTGTTACATTTGCAAAAACCTTATCAGCTTATCCACGTATATACAGTAGGGTCATCCCCAAATGTTAATTATATAAAATCTAAAGGAAGAACAGTATCTAGCTGCATCTGTGTCCCATTTCCTTAAAGGGAGATTTGGCATTTTTAGTCTTCCTTCCGTAAGTCACGTTGCTATTTGCAAAGGCCAGTGCTATACGATGCTGAAGACCATGGACAGATATTGTTCATATGACACCTGAATCCAGCCGTCCTGATCCGTATCGTAACGCCTGAATATATCGGTCAACCTCTGGGAAAGAAACAATAGGCATTTAGATCTTGATATTTAGTAAACAGAAGGAATGAAACATATTTGGTAAAAAGACATTTAAGAACCAAAGTCACCCATGTCTCCAGACACCCCCAACTCTGACGGAAACCAGGGCAGGAAGGCATGGGTGGGTATCCCTGACCACCCTCAGGCCTGTCCATCATGGAGAATGCTGCGGTCTGGAGGGACAGCAAGGGTGGGAAGATGAATACAGGAAGCTGGTCAAGAGGTCAGGGAGTGGGCTGTAGGCCCAACTCATTGATACACCAGAGCCCCGGGTCTGGCTGAGCCCTCTAGTCCCAGGCCCTGGTTTCCCAAGGGGTCCAGCGGTGAGCCTCGGTCCTCCCTTCCTTCTCTAAGACCAACCTCGTGGGGGCTCTTCCTTTAACACTCACCTCTGCTCTGGCTACTTGCCACTCAGGTCACAGGGAAACCAGCGCTGACTTGGGCCCCTCCTTTACCCCAGCAGGTGAAGGCCCAGACACACAACATGGAAGGGTAGGTCTCCCTGTACCAGCCTCAGGGTCCCTCCTGCCCATCCCACCCATAGGGCTCCACCCTAGTCTGTTCACAAGCTTGATCCCCCCACGGCAGGTTAGGAGCAGAGGGGAGAGCCCTGCACCCAACAGCCGGGACAATTAGATGAGTGCCACCCCAGGTGAGGGGTGCTGGACAACCACAGTAGGCTTGAGGAATCACAGGTGACAAAAGGACGCAGGCAGAATGCAATTCCCTAGGACAGAAGAAAACTGTGCCCAGGTTCATCATGAGAGCAGGCTGGAGCCCGGCCCTCTGGCGGCAGGTTAGACGGGGTGCCTGACACAGCTGACTGTCCACTCGGGCTTTAGCCGGAGCATCCCAGCACGCGTGAGACACTAACGTCAAACCAATGACAAAAACACCAGCAGCACGTAACTCTGGCTTAAAGAACAATGGGCAATTCTTCTTTGTATTTTAATTGTATTTTCCCAAGATTTCTACAAATTTTCGTGTTCTTTTGTAAAAAATCATTTTTAAAAAGCCTGTCTCTTTTTGTAGAAAGGCAGATGAAGGAAAACATTTTTGAGGATATTTTACCTGTGGCCTGCAGCTTTTTGTTTACATTCCCCACCTCTGTCCAGTGTTTAGGGTCACTCGGGAAGGGTGGGTGGGACCAGGGCCTGGCAATCAGGCCTCCAGCTCAGCATGGAGCCAGGGGGCAGCGGCTGCTGCAAGACAGACTCCTGGCTGGCCTGTCCTCAGCCTAGAGGGTGTGCGGAGGCACTGGGCGAGCTTCTCATGGGAGTCAGATCACGTTACCTCAGCTACTGAAAGCCTACACTCGATGACCTTTGCTTAAGAAGAAAGGATCAGATGTTTACCTACAGGACATAACCTCAAATGAAAACCCTAACCTTAGAGCAATTTAGAGGCAGACAATGATGAGACTTTTACACTACATCTTTTTCTAAAGTGTTCAGATGACACTGCCAATGGGGTGGGATGAGATGGGGTAAGGCTCTCCCCATGTCAGAGAGCCAAGACGCAAATGTTAACAGACCTGGCTCTCCAATGAGGCCTTGAACAACAGGGACTGGGCTTTTCCCAGACTCACTGTATGTAGCAGGCCACAGAAATTTCACTTTTACTGACCTAGCATTCTAATGGGAAAAAAACCCAAGAATGTTTCTCAAAATTCGAAATTATATTTAAAAACTTCAGGCTGTTCACATCTCTCAGTGGACACTAAAGCTGACAAGATGTAACCCCAACCTGGATTCAAACTACAAGGACTTCTCTTCATGGAAAAAACATGTGCCTTCCACAAATGGAATCTGTGTCAGAGTTAAGGGCTGGGAGGTGTTAGGATCATGGAGGTATGACATCAAACTGTCCACCAGCTGGTAAACTGTTGAATCTGAGCGATGGGCACACGAGGTCATCATTCTTTTGTCTCTCTCTTTTTAATTTGTCATAATAAAAACTCTGAAAGCTATCTAAGGGTTTATCAGTTCACTGCACGTCTAAGCTTAAATCTAGGTAACCTGGATCCCTACCTACAGACAGGAGCAGGGGGGCCTGTGTGGGCACAGCAGGGCAGGCTCGATTACTCCTGCCCTCTGTCTCTGGAAAGGACGCTCAAGGTCTGCACTTGTCTCTCTCAGAGGTAAAGGAGCAAGGCCGTAGGAGGGAGATGTGAGGTGCTGGGGTCAGCGGGATTCACGAGCTCCACCCAAAGCTGCTTGGCTCTGACACCCGAATGAGGCGCCAGGTCCTGTCTTGGAACTTCCCTCACACAGAAAGGCAGGGCACAGTAAAGATCACAACGGAAAATCTACCCATTTCCTCAGAATGAAAATACGACAAAAATACCAGAGTATACATGTAAATAACCCACTCGATTTAGAAAACATGATCTCATTTGAAGGGACTGCTCTATAATACAGCCGACCCTTGAACGCAGGGTTAGGGGCAATGAACCCTGGAGCAGTCAAAATCCACATATAACTGTGATGCCCCAAAATGTAACTACTAACAGCTTACTGTTGACCAAGAGTCTTACCAGTTAATAGTCAATGAACACTTACTTTGTACGTTGTATGTATTATGTACATATTCTTACAGTAAAGTAAGCTAGAAAAAAAATGTTAAGAAAATTGTAAGGAAAATACATTTTCAGCACTATACCATACCTACCAAAAAAAAGTCTGCCTATGAACGACCTGCATAGTTGGGCCATGTGCTGTTCAAGGGTCAGCGGTATTTCCACAGGGAGAAAGAGCACTACGGGCCATACCTCTGTATAACAGAGTGACACCTCTCCACAGACAAGACTAACTTTTATAAGCCCCGGAAACTGACTTTACTCCATTAAACCGCTAATTCCAGAATGGCACCTCCCTCTTCCTCTGCTTTCGAGGATACTCCCTGCCTGCTCCACCGCTCTGCTCATGGTGAGCCCCCATGGAACCCCCATTACCTGCAAGACGATGCAGCCCTGGATGAAGTCATCAAATGCGATCTGCCCCCGTCCTTGTCTGTCGAACTTGCGAATGAGGATGTCGTGAAACTGGTCAGAGAGCCGGTACCCTTGAAGAGGAGAATGAGGATGAACAGAGGGCCAGGAGAGTGGACATTCCCATCAACAGCCACGTCCTCCTTCCAAAAGGCCCCACAGCCTCTGACATCAGGTGATAACAAATGACCGAGGCGGGGGTGGGAGACTCAAGGTGCAAAATCATTCACATGCACTCTGGGAACGAAGCCATCATTCTGCAATGCGCCCCGCCTACAGTCCCATGAATGGCCGACATGAAGACCACCCCCTTTCTGGAAGGGTGAGTGTTACTCGGAGGCCAGCACTGCCAGGCGCAGCAGGTCATTAATGTGAGCTCACTTGTTCACATCAAGTATACTCACCCCATAGTGCTGTACCCCAAAAATCACCCCGTAGGGCAGCCCAGCTTTGTTGTGAAGTTTTCGTTTTACAAGTGGTTTCATTTTGCATCTGAAAGATTGTATCACTGAAGGCTTCCAAATAAACAAAATGTAAATGCAGGGAAGTAGCAGATTCATTGATGGGTACTCCCCTCAATAAATTAGCACACTGACATCAGGAAATGAAAGATTACAAGGAGCAAGGCAGCCTCGTAAAGTTCACAACCACTCAAGGGTCATCAAATGGTTTCTCTTCAGACTGAACAAATGTTATGACAAACAGTCCCTGATGCCACCTTCAACTTATGAATGTCTTGGAAAGGTCTCCAGCAGGGAGGTGGTTCTGAAGATGCGGGGGGACACAGCGGCCACTCGCCTGTGGGACACCCCTTGAGGCCACTCTAAACAAGGATACCTACTTCCCTCCTAAACCCACTACCTGTGTGACTGTGGTGTCCTTATCTATTCAGGAGACAAGATCCAGGGGCCATTTTTAGTGGTTTTCCGTCCTGTTGGAATCATTGTGAGGATATATGTACACCTATCACCTGAGTGAATTTCAGAGTTAATAACTTGCAGAAACACTTTTCTAAAAAAAAGATTCAAACATGCACACACATGACAGTACCTTCCAGAGTGGTCAGCATACTCTATCCATCTGTGACTTAAATCCAGGGCCCCCTTCCCTGCCAGCTGAGTAGAAGACAGGATCCCTGACTTAAAAAAAAAAAAGAGACAACAGGTCCTGGATGGGGGTCACACCCCCAGCCCCTCTGAGTCTCCTCTCCTCATACCTGGCACCTGTGCCTGTGGACAGGTAAGGAACAGGCCCAGGCTGGTAAGGGCTGAGCTCATCCGAGGCGTAGATCGCAGATGATAGCCATCGCTGTGGCAGTCTCCCGCCCAGACATAAACATACAGGATGGCTCTCCACAATCTCTGCAGACCACGTAAGCAAGTTCTATCATCCCTGGGATTAGCTTCCAATTTCCCCAGTCCTCAATATTATTGTAGCGAGAACAAAACCAACAGAAGTCAGACTAGAAAAATGAATGATGAACAAACAGACTATAAAAGAGACATTTACATAAGAAGCAAAATCTGAGAGCAGACTCTTCTCTAAGAATTTCCTTCAGTGAAAATCCATGTCACGATAACCCCATCCTCGTAAATTAAGAGGATGTGCCCCCTGGAAATGCAAATCAAAACCACAATGAGGTGGCTCACACCTGTCAGAAGGGCTGATATCAAAAAGACTAGAAATGCTACATGTTGGCAAGGATGTGGAGACAAGAAACCCTTGTGCACTGTTGGTGGGAATGCAGGCTGGTGCAGCCACCGTTGGAATCAGTATGGACGTTCCTCAAAAAGTTAAAAATAGAGCTACCACATGATCCAATAATCGCACTACTGGGTATTTACCCAAAGAAAACAAAACACACTGATATGAAAAGATATCTGCACCCCCACGGGCACTGCAGCATTATCTACAATAGCCAGGATATGGAAGCAGCCCAAGTAACGGACTGATGGATGGATAAAGAGGTAGTGCACACACGCACCGGAATATTAGACAGCCGTAAAAAAGGATGAGACCTTGCCATTGGTGACAATATGGATGGACCTAGAGTGCATTATGCTAAATGAATTAAGTCAGAGAAAGACAAATACCAGATGATTTCACTTATATGTGGAATCTAAAAATAAAACAAATGAACAAATAAAACAGAAACAGACTCGTAAGTACAGAGAACTGGTGGGGGCCAGAGAGGAGGGGGTAGGGGGATGGGTGAAATCGGTGAAGGGGATTAAGAAGTACAAACCTCAGATTATAAAAACTTAAGTCCAGGGATGAAAAGTACAGCCTAGGGAACAGAGTCAATAATACTGTGACAGGGGGCGCCTGGGTGGCTCAGTTGTTGAGCGTCTGCCTTCGGCTCAGGTCATGGTCCCAGGGTCCTGGGATCAAGCCCCGCCTCGGGCTCCCTGCTCCGCGGGAAGCCTGCTTCTCCCTCTCCCACTCCCCCTGCTTGTGTTCCCTCTCTCGCTGTCTCTCTCTTTGTCAAATAAATAAAACCTTAAAAAGAAAAAATAATTCTGTGACAACACTATATGGTGAAAGATGGCAACTACATAGTCGTGGTGAGCGCTGAGTAATGGAGAGCGCAGTCGAATCTCTATGTTGTATGCCTGAAACTAACATAACATTTATGTCAACTATACTTCATTTAAATGGAAAAAAAGAAAAAGAGGTGCCCTCTGTGTGCAGCTCCCCTGGCTTGTGACCCTGGTCAGCATCAGCCCCTGTTGGACCTGACGTGCTGGCCACAGGGCCACACCCTGAACTTAGGAGAGTGAGGTTCTCTCCTGACAACTAACAAGCACAGGACTGTTAGTTGTATGGGAGGGACAGTGGCAGCCCTCTATACAGTGGTCCTGGGGCTGGAAGGAGCTGGAGGCCTGGCTGGCCTCAAGATCCCACGAGTCACCAACCGCCTATTCCCAGCAGCCCCGTATGACAGCACGTCTTCACAAACCTGGATGCTAACCAGTAACTACTCTCCAAGGGACAGACCTGGGACAGGGCACCAACCCGTGTCTATAACCAGCCAATGGCATGAAAAGGGTGGGGGCTGCCTGTGGACCTGCTGGGACCCTAACGCAAATGGGCTACTAATTTTTAGGGTGGGTCCACGGCACTGATTTGGTGAGCAAACATCCACACCTTCCAGGGACGCAGAATAAAGCATGTCGGGCTAACACGGCACAGGTCTGCTATGGCTTCAGGGTCGTGGAGGTCATGTGGCAGTCGCTTGTGGTCAGGAGCTAGCTGACGCTGGGACACAACAGAGGACAAAGCAAATGCAGCACCACGTTGGTAATGGCTGAGATGAGTGACAACTGAATGGAGGGCCCTACATTTTGATAACATTTTCATCAGAAAGCACTGAGCTGGTGGAGGGAGGGGGGCGGAGGGAGAGGGAGCTGCCTGTACCTGACGACCTTCCCCACCAAGGGGGCACTGCACTGCGTGGGGTGAACTCCTCATACACTTCCTTACTTCCAGCTCTCTCTACCTGGTGCACAGCGCATATTAGCTGTGACTTTAAAAAAGGACTATGTGAGCTATCCTAGCTGGCAGGTGGGCCTGGGAGAGTGACCCAATGCAGTCAGGGCTGAACAGGAATCTTTGCTTCAGTTACTACTGAAAATCTTCTAAAATCATTAATATGTGAAAAGGATAACAATGTCCCTTTTTGGTAGAAGGCCTCAGAAATCAAGAACCAATCACAGGAACAGACTTGTTAGAACAACTGACAAAATGCTGTAGCAGAGTACTTACTTTCTCCAGAAAACATCTGGAAGTCAGGTAGGGGCCCAGCGTCAACTAGCTCCTGACCACAAGCGACTGTCACATGACCTCCACGACCCTGAAGCCATAGCAGGGACTCGGAGGCCAGAGAGGCCAGGGCACTGCCCACCTCAGAGCTCCCACCGTGGGCTCTAAGGACCCAATGGGCCACTGGCACGAAGGAAAGAGAGGGCTCTGGGCCTGACAACATTAGAAAGTACCGTGTTCCCTGACACCTGAGGTCACTTGTCTGGATGTAATTCACAGGACCCAGGTTCCTCCCAAGTGGTCCTCGGCCCAGTCAGGCCTCCAGCTCCTTCCAGCCCCAGGACCACTCTCTGTAGAGTGCTGCCACCATCCCTTCCATACGGCCCTACCCGTTCCCCAGTCTAAGGGCAGAGCAAAGTCAGCTGGGTTCCCAGTCTCAACGCAGAGAACCTGAGGTCAAGTCCTGCCCTAATCTCGACCCACACCTAGTGAGTGAGTTGAGAACACAAACTTCCTGTGGAGTCCCAGAACCTCTAGCTGGACATCACAGGAATTCATAAGGAAAGAAAGAGAAAGAGGAGACAGTCATAAAGTGCATGCCCAAAGGAAAAAGGGGAGAAGGGGCAGAAGTTAACAACACGTCAACACGAGAATTAAGATGTACTTTGTATTACTAAAGCTCAAAATACCTACAAGTTCATTAGTACATTATAACATAGTACATTATAGAAAAAACAGTACATTATAAACTAACTTTTCTGATTTTTTTTCTAGACGGTATTCATAAGCAGTCTTTCAAGCAAAATGTAGCAGGAATTTTGTAATAGGGCCCCAGTAAACAGAGGGCTGAGTGAGATCCTCCCAAACACACCAGAATCTGGGTGTAACTCCCACAAGCCTTGGACAAGTCTTCCATGTGCGTGTTCCCTCCACACACACAAAACCCCAACTCCCTCTCAGACCCACACACCAGCATCAGAAGGCCCACTGACCCACCCTGGAAAGGCTGGGCAGACACTCCTGGTGGCACAGCACACCTGGGCCGACATGCACTTGAGAATGGGAGCCCGAACGCCTAGCAACGCTGTGCCTGAGGCAAGCAACTGGTATTGCCACTTACAGAATCATCTCCTACAAGTATCTGATCATCTTGCTGTGTGTTGTGATGTATCATGAATTATAAGCTGCCGGACATTTTATTTTCCCTTATTCACGTGAAACTGTTTCCAAAGCCATCACATTCTCAATGTGCATGTCACATCACTCCATTTCACAAATGATAAACGATTGCATAGCCCGTATCTCATTTTGGATGGAAAAAAACACATAAAGTCTCCAAGTCAAATATAAGCCTTCATGATATAAATAATATCAAAGTATAAATCAGTATGATGTCAACAAAAATTTCATAGTTAAAAAAATCAGTAAATTGGGCACCTCGGTAGCTCAGTGGGTTAAGCATCTGACTCTTGATTTCATCTCAGGTCATGATCTCAGGGTCGTGGGAATGATCCCCAAGTCAGTCTCCGCGCTGGGTGTGGAGCCTGCTTAAGATTTTGCTCTCCCTCTCCCTCTGCCCCTCCCCCACTCTCAAAAAAAAATCAATAAATTGACCAAAGTAAAAAAAGTTAATGACACCAAAATGGCCTCCAAAATGAAATATGCTACACAATCAAGATAAGTGAATTACCAAAACCTGAGAGTGCTTGCTTGAGCTCATTCTTGTCAATCATCCCAGAGTTGTCCCTGTCATAGGTGCGGAAGACGTTCTGCCAGTCTGTGATGTACTTCCAGACGCCAGTGAACTCACTGAAGTTCACGCCAGCCTTGTTCTCTCGGTCAAACATGGCTGAGACAGAAAGGAACGTGAGTGGTACACAGTAGTTGGTATCTCAAGGTTAGTTGGCAAGCAGCTCAATCCCAGCACAGCCACTCCCACGCTTCTCTCAGGGCCAGCCCCGTGCTTAGTCAGCAGATGCCCAAGTGTTGCTAAGAAATGCTCATTTGTCGATGGGAGGGCTGGATCTCCTCTGCTGGGTGGTTACCCAGCCACAGCCCCCAAACCACCTGAGACAGACGCGAGGCACACAGTAAAGAAAGTGCAAGAAAACACACCCGCAGACACACAACAGAAATAATACTTGACAAGGAAGTAGCCTCTACAGAAACATGATGCCGGGGTGCTCTTGCTTTATCAGGAACAAACGGAGGTTCAGAGTGAAGTAGCCACCTCCACTCTCCCAGCTCCTAGTTCAGCTCCTTCCTGTCTCCAAGAGGACCTACAACCACCAGTGCAGGCCCACTTCAGTGAGAAAAAGACTCTACTCGCTTTAGATTTTAGTTTTTTTCAGTAAGACCTGCTTTTCGTTAAAAAAATCAGCCTAAGCGTGCCTGGATGGCTCAGTCGGTTAAGCCTCCAACTCTTGATTTCAGCTCAGGTCATGATCTCAGGGTCATGGGATCCAGCCGTGTTGGGCTCCGCACTCAGCGGGGAGTCTGCTTCTCTCCTTCTCTCTCTCCCCCAAATAAATACATACATACATCAATCTATCAATCTTTGAAAAAGAAAAAAAAATGAGCCTAATTCCAGGTCCAAATATGAAAGAATCTATAACTGCATTTACATATAATGGCAAAATGGTGAAAAACATACAAAAACTGTCTGTACTTCTGCTACCAAGAAAATGACAAATCACTTGGTCCCTTTCACGTAAAGAAGCCAATATAAGACTGAAACAGGAGCGCTCTTGGTTGCTCAGAAGTACACTGTAATTCAGTGAAAGCTCACGTAAGGGAAAAATCAGGTCAGAAACTGAGCATCAGTGTTTCCACCAGTCAACAACCATGCAAGATATGGACGGTGTGTGAAACGTGCTGGTCCTGTATGTACATGAACTCTTCAGAACTGGGAATTCAAGCTGAAGTGCTCGGCCAGGAGGGCAGGGTGAGGGGGACAAGGCAGAAAGCACAACCTGCATCCAAGCAGGACAGGAGTCTGCCTGCGCTTTTACTTACATATGATTGACCTGACAGTCACTGGATTAAATGGAGTCCATGTGCCTGAAAATAAATGACAGGAAACAGTCAGAGAAAATAGTTTTCACAGCAAGCTCTAAGATTCTAATCTGTAACATCAGTAGCTAACGACAGTAACTTGCTGTTCAAGGAAGACCTTGGGACCACGGTTCTCAGCAGGGACATAGTTCCCAGGGGACATTTTTGGTTGCCATGACCACTGGGGGCTGTAAGCATGTCGTCGATTGGGTCTGGTCCCGTACTGTGCAGGAGTCCCTCAGGCCCCAACAGACATACATCCAAAGCTGTTCATAATGACATGAGGCCGGGGGCTCGCTCTCGTTTACTACATAAACAAGATATGGTTTTATAGTATTTTTTTCTTTCTTTCTTTTTTTTACAGTGTGGATCCCAACAAGGGGCCTGAACTCACGACCCTGAGAATCAAGACCTGAGCTGAGATCAAGCGTCGGACGCACACAACCGACTGAGCCACCCAGGTGCTCCTGGTTTTATAGCATTTTAATATACACTCTATTTTCCAGGAATGCAGCAACCAGGTGAGTTGAGAAGCATACTCAAAAACATACCATAAAACCATGCCATAAAAATTTTCTCCTAAAATTATAGTCTGAGCATATTATTTTCATTGAGAGTGTGATTCACTTCAGAATAATAATGGGGATATTCGGGGTGCCTGGGTGGCTCAGCGGTTAAGTGTCTGCCTTCGGCTCAGGTCGTGATTCCAGGGTCCTGGGATCAAGTCCCGCATTGGGCTCCCTGCTCAGCAGGACGCCTGCTTCTCCCTCTCCCACTCCCCCTGTTTGTGTTCCCTCTCTCGCTGTCTCTCTCTCTAATAAATAAATACAATCTTTAAAAAAAATAATAATAATGGGGATATTATTAGACATTTGTTATAAAGGGGATTGTTGAATCTGATACAACCATTTATCAACTGGTAATGAAATGTTCACTAGATACCTTCATGCCTCAAAATCTGTTTTCAGGATAATTTATACCATTATCAATTTTTATACTCATTAAAAAGAAAGTGTAAAAATATTTTTAATGTGGAGGGAAAGCAGTGTCTCTCCCCACATCCCACTTATATAAAACCTCATATTTTCTTCTATATATAAAACTATTTTTGCCCCTCCAGCCCCGAGATCCATCCCGACCTCACATAAAGTGACCTTTTGCTCAAGTTTGAGGCCTACTTGGATGTGGGTGGTGGGCAGGAGAGTCTGAAGGGTACCACCCCTTACACTCTACCACACTGGGCTTCCCACCACAGCTCTAGAGGGCCATGCCCTCTAGTCAGGGCTCATGCACATGCTTCTCTACACCTCAAGTGTGGCCTCCCAACACATGCACACCCTTCACCACTCACCTCTCCTGTAAGCCACAGGAAAAATGTGTCCCCAGGAGAGCCTTCCCTGAGTGCCCCACATTCCCCCCAACCCCTACACATGGGGGCTAGATAAACATCTTCTGCAGGCCTCAAGACATTTGGGCAGGGAGGGTGGGCAGAAACCTGTATATAAAGCTATTAGGAAAGATATTATTGAAAACTATGTTACAAAGAACCCAACAGAAAGGAAAATTCTAAACACGGAGAGGGTTACTTCTTTGCTGTTTGTTTTTCCCTTCTTCACACCTAGCTGCTGCAAGCACTGAACTGCTCTTCCACAGGAGACAGCCCAAAGGCTCCCCAGGAACCCAATGCACCTGCTGGAGCCTTTCCCTGGCCCTCGTTTCCTGTCTTCCCTCCACCTGATACAGGCTGATGAGCCCTCAGTCAGTGAAAGTGAAGGCAGCCTCCACAGTCCATCCTGACTGTGAGCAGAAGCATCATGGGGCCGTCTCTGCAAATGACTTGGCCAGGGAAGTTTGAAATAAAAGCAACACAAGTGCAACAGTTAAGTAATGTAGAAATATGCGCATCTGCCATGGTGAGGGCCTGGTGCCACCTGGACAGGCATGCATGGAATGCCCAGAGAGTGCAGCCCTGAGGTGACCCAGGGGAACCAGCACCCATGGGGGAGGATTCTAAGGATGGCAGGGGTCCCAGGCTCAGAAGAGCAATAGGTCATCCTGAGCTGAGTCAAGGATAGAGGGAGGCTGCCCTCTGGCATGAGACCCACAGGTTTTCTGCAGGGCTGCTGTGCAAGGGAAGGTGGAGGCAGGCTCCTCCGCTCATCCTTCTTGTTATACCCAAATGGGGCCCGACTCTCCAAAGAAACCAAGGGATAATAACAGCCAACAGTTAACTGACTAGTTATAATGTACAGGTCCTGTGGCCTGGTTCTCAGAATGAACATCAAAGCTCAACAACTCACAGCGAAGCCAAAATACTACAACATGCAGACATTTAATATCTCAAATATATTACACGTTATATAAACCTGAGTGTCAGTCTGAAAATCTAAGTAGTTTATAAAAGTTTTCTGTAAGAAAACACAGTACAGTGCAAATAACCAATATTTAACACAGCTTGCTGAAAACAGAGGGTACATTATACCCCCAGGTAGACTTTTTTCACAAGCCCTACATCCCCAGTGACCCTCTATCCCAGATTTTCTGGGCCAACCCTAATTTCAAACATTCCTGTCTGCTTTTCCCAGACACGAACATGTTTGGATGTCAGAACCACTCATCTTGAGAGATTTCTTGTCAGATTTTTACTTAGAAATTATATGATCACTAGACCTAGAAGTCCTGCTTTTAATTTCCTCTCAAAGAACTAAAGAAAACAGAAACCTGATTTTCCATGTGAATTTAGTACACTTTTTTCACCCATAATTTGAGAACAGTGCTAAAGGCTTAAGAAGCAATCCTAAGCAAATGATGACAGTCTAGGGAACCATCTACAGTTGTAGAGGTAGAGACAGTCCCCATCAGGATGCTCTATCATTTTCCCACTTAACCCTCAAGCACACAAATAATTGCAGGAATCCCCATTCTCAAAGGGGAAAAAAACAAACTCTGCTCTGTGATAATGTATTGTTTTTATACTCTCCAAAGAGTTTTCTTTCTTGAAATTATGTCCTGTTAACCACAAGCTTAAATTTTGGCTTCAGTGAGTGGTTAAGGGTTAAGACTTCATGACATTTGCACAATTGAGATACCTAACTACTTAGAATCTTTTGGGGCAAAAATAATAAATAAATAAAATTTAAAAATAAATAAAAAATAAAAATCAGACTTTTTAAAATGTCATCACTGGTATGTCTTTCCACTTTACTTCATAAGACCAGGAACTCCCAGCCCCTCTGGGCTTTTCTACACAAGAGGAGATGTAGCAAGTCCTGCAGGGCTGGGCACACAGCACTGGCATTCAATGCACAGAATTTGCAAGACTTTGGTGCCTCTTCAGGTTCAGCAAAATTCCACACTTTCCCAGTCTTCTTCAATTACAGCTTCAAATAGCACAACTAGAAATATGGCCTTTCTGAAAAGCAATCTAAATATTGATCAACAGCATTAATGATGCATATACGCCCTGATGTGATAAATGTCACTTCTAAAAACTGGTTCTATGAAATTTGGGGTCAAATCACTACAGTATTTACATTAATGAAAATTAGAAACAATCTAAATGACTTAAGTGAAACACTGTAAAACTCAATCCCGGTAGATACATTGCCTCCCAGTTCTGTACGAGGCAGATGCAGGATCTGGTGGACTGGGGCTTGGCTCAAGGAGGAAAAGGATCTAAACTTCCAGTCTTCCTATTTTTACATCCAAAGAAACTGGGGCCAGAAGTGCGATACACCCAAGGTTACAGGGTAACTTGTCAGTAAAGCCAGGTCCACCAAATCCCAACTTTCTTTTGTTTCTATCTGAAACTCTGGCTGGGCGTGTTTCTGGAAAAAGCAGACAGGACAGGCTATACTAGGGGTCCTCAAGGACTCCTTCAGGCTCCATGACTCACTAAGACTCCAATACTCAGTCAGTTTGTTACAATGAAAGGACAGAGTAAAATCAATAGGGGGAAAAGGCACCAGGAGAAGTCCACTGGACACCAGTGCCACCCAGGACGTGCTTACTCCTCCAGCTACGAGTTGTGAGGACACAGGCCAAATACTGTCCACTAGGGAAGCTCCCACGTCTAGAGTCCAGGGCTTCTCTTGGGAGTCCATCATGGAAGCTCCAGATACCCAGAGGGAAAGCAGGTGTTTGCCATAAATCCTACTATTAGTATCAACTATCCAGGCAAACAGCTATCACACACCTCGAGGCCCTTGGTGGACAAAACACTCTTCTCAGTCAAAACGTCACAGGAGGCAGCCAGCCATAAAGCCCTTCCTGGGAAGGAGCAGACTCTGAGCCATCCAGGCCTGCTGAGCGAGTCCTTCCCCACACACAGGCAGAAGGACGCTGAAGGTAAATCTCTAAAGCAGCAAACACCCTTACCCACAAAACTGGGCCTGTGGGGGCAGGAGCAGTGATGGGATCAGAAGCACGGTCTGCAGGGAACTAACTGTCGCTTATATGGTCTGATTTCCCTCATTTCCTCTTAATGTGGGATCCCCAAGAGAGCTGGAACTCTTTTGATAAAAATACCTTAAAAAGAATATATGGATTATTTTTAAAGTGCAGCTAAAAAATGTCTCCACAAAATACCTACATAGGTTATGTGAAGGCAAACCGGCAGAAGCACAAAAGAGACATGAGCAAAATTGAATTCCTGTAATTCCAAGAAATGTCATGCAAGTTAAAAAAAAAAAGGTACCAAACTGAGATAGTTTATGACATGTCATTTCAAAAGAAGGCAAGAGAACAGTCTTCTTCTGTCTTTCTTCATACCTATTAACTACACACCTTCCTGAGAGCAGTCAACTTTAGAAGCTTTCCTATGGAAAAAAGTCTTATAAAGGACTCAGTGTATGGGACCCATAAGTAGTCTTTCAGGATGGTTTCAACTACATTTTCGCAGAGAGCACACACACACACAGATTTAAAGTGAGAAACCATGCAAGTCTGAAACTTCAGTTTTCCCACCAGTAACAGACTAAGTAAACCAACGTCCTGAAATAGCCTAATACTCCAGTTCTAATATGAAAACAGAAGCCCATTCCTGGGAGAACAATTAGAAGTCAAAATAATGTCAATTGCATTAGCTCTCGGAAGTCAAGGGGAGTGGAGAGGACCACGACGGGCCCACCCAGTGGCCAGTTTCCGTGCACACACTACACCCCTGCACAGGAGCCCGGCCTGGCCTCCTTCAGGAAGTGGCCGTTCTAGTGGCAGAGACAGCTACCACAGTGATCACACAGAGCAAAACCGGAGTGTCAAGGACACTACAGTGATGCCACAGTGGCTCAAGAGCAGGCACATCCCTCCAGGCAGAAAATCTGGAACTCGGGATGTACACGGCTTGAGCTTACATCAATGCAGAAGGAGCACTGAACCCACGCAAGGGGGTGGACACCACCATGGAGACAGGTGGGAAGACACTGGGGCTCAGCATGCTTTGAGTGCCTGTGAGCATAACATGAGCAGAAGCACTGAGGGGGACCAGCAACAGACATCTGGATTTAGATTCTGGCTCCACAACTTGAGAGCTATGAAGGGTAACTCACCTACTCTCGGGATCTGCATCATTAATAACCTGCTTTACTGCAGAAAGAACTTAAAGAAATTTATAAAGATATCCATGGTAGAACAAAAATGAATTAAATTGTAATTACGTTGGATGGGAAGAGAAAAGTAGGAGGATAAGGAAGCAAGGGATCTAAGACCAGGTCAGTAACACTGACCTCTCAAAATTCTAAATTCATGCTAGTCGCAAGCCACCAACTTAAATTTTTTACCAGCTAATTTGAAGAGGAAAATGTAATCGGTTAAAAGATTCAGGGTTAATAAGATATAAATAAAACAAGACAAAATAGCCACCAGAGGTGTTTAGAACACCAGAGATACCATGCTCCCATGGAGAAGCGAGATGGCTGCTTCCTGGGCATCCCTGGCTCAGAGGGCATGGTGGCTGCGGTGCCTGCCTCTCTTCAGCGCAACAGTGACTACCTGCTTCATGAGGCCAGTTCTTCCACGCCTCCACAAAGGCCACTGAGGCAGTCCCGACCAAACTTACTAGCTGGGTTAAACTAGGTACTGATTTCAAAGTATCTCAGCAACGGTGAACAAAACATCCTCTAGGCAATTGTTAAAACTCACTCTCTTCTACAGGTTCCTGGTGGGTATTTAGTAGTAGCTGAGTTCAAGATTATGTTCTGACAGAGTAAAGACCCGTATGCTTTAACAACGAGCTGAACTAAGGGCAGCACTGACACCCTCTCGTGAAAATACGGAAGCCTAACACTATAGGTCAGAATAGGTGCCGTCACCACACCCCCAGGGCTCCAACAATGCTGATTTGAGATTAGGTTTGTTACATGCCCAGCACAGTGCCTACATGCAACGGATGCTCAGTGAGTGGCAACTACCATCACCACCATCCCGAGTTCACCCCCTGGCCGGTAACAATACTACTACTATACTTTCAGCTGACAACACTGAACCCTGCTATGTGCCAGGCACTGTACCAAGCACTCTCCATGCATTTTCTCCATCCACCCACCCAGAAAGGTCAAGTCCTTGCCCAAGGTCACATTCCTAGAACTGGGAGAGCCAGGATTTGAATCCAGACAGGAGCCCCCAGGGTGGACACCATCATGCTAATGAGGTCAGAGTGTGACCATCACTCCCAGTGGAGGTTTCACATAAACCCCAAACCTGGGTGGCACTCTCAAAACTTCAAGCAAACAGACAAAAAGATGTCCAAATGGACATGGGTCATGAATTGGTCCTCACTTACTGGAAAAGAACTCAAAAGGAATGCCTGCAAAGCATGACCCCCGAGGGCACTCTGACTGCAGTGGTCACCCTCTTGAACATATGATGTGAAAACATCTGTTTGGTCAACATTAGAAAGTTTTTTTGTTTTCTGAGAGAGAGAGTGAGGGTGCTTGCATGGGGGGTGGAAGGGCTTGATCTCACGACCCTGAGATCATGACCTCAGCCAACATCAAGAGTCAGACATTTCACTAAGCCACTCAGGTGCCCCAACACTTAGAAAGTTTTAAGCCAGATTTGCCAGATCACAGCCTGCTGGATTTCAGTTTGTTTTGGCATCTTTCTAGTAGTAACCCTGTCTTCTACTCCTCTAAGTGTAACTCAAGCTTTGGAGACACAAAAAATGGAAAAGGGTTAATAACAAGAGAAGAATCAAGAAGGCACAATCATCAAAGCATCAAGAAGGCACAATCATCAAAGCAGAAGTAAAGAGATTTCTTAGTTTCCTGAACACAGCTACATAAATACACATGAAGTCATACACCAATACCTGCGGCCCAAGTGTTAAATACTGGAAAAAGAAGTCAGTACTATCTACCATTCTTTAGACATATTAATCTGCAAATACTAATCCTGCACTTCATGCAAATCATGACGCAATGACAAGACTAACACTAAATGTCTGGTATGTGCCCACAAGGAGGGTAGGCACACTCCTTTAAACACCCGACATCCAGCACTACTACTTCACAGTGCTGGCATCCTTACTCTTTCCAGAACATCAAACTGCTGCCCACTAATAAAAATGGGTCTTTTGACATCTTAGAATCAATCCCTTTTCTACCTTAAATGGCACACCTCTGGAAAGACAAGCTACAAATCTAAGAACCAGAAAAGACAGTGGCATCTGAGGGATTCTTAAAAAGGGCAACATAGCCAGGTATTCAATGAAGTAAAAGGTCTCAAATAGTACTTCCATGGATTAATTATGCTGAAACCAGCAAGAACAGAACTCCACGGAGAGCCCCCAACACACCGCCACACAAGAACTATGATCCTGTATCCCTGTCTGAACACCTAGTATTCCCCCACTGATAAGACCACCTTCCCACAATCCAACTGCCAGCGCCACACCTCCAACAACCCAATCACTTCCCCATGGTGCCCCAGCACCTTGATGATCCTCTCCAGAGAGGTCACAAAGATGGACGGACCTACCTAAGAAATTCAGTGATCTTCAACGTACCTTAAGTGTATCTGCTATACAAAGCTAAGCTTCCTATCCTTCCCTAAAACCTGCACCCCAACCTCCATTTCTCAAGAAGCGCTTCCCTGCACTAGTCCTAGCTCAGCAAGGCACTTAGAGCAGGATATCACTTGGCAAAATAAATGAAAAGCACCTCCACCACATGCCAGTAATAATAGTTAGGGCTTAATAACTCCTCTGTACCTGGAAAAAGAAACTATTTACTACAGGTGGGTCAGGCTCAAAGTTCAGTAGAAGTCCTGATGGCCAGGTCCCACTCACCATTGGATAGTGCTTGCTGAAGCTCGTTGTCGGATATCACCCCGCTCCTGTCTTTATCAACCCTACAAAATTAAGACCAGTTAAGCTGGTGATTAAAAGTGCAGAACAAGCAAAACATGGCAAACATAAACATTTAACTCTTGCGTTAATCCTGCATTCACCCTGGCATGCTCCCTCCCACGGACCTTCCACTGTACTCAGCTAGGATGTCTCACTCCCGCATTCTGCTGGGGAATGAAACATCTGAGTGCCTTCTCTCCTCCTAAGCATATGCCACCTGCCAAAGGCCAAGTTGGTTCCCCAGAGACACCTAACCATTTTTGTCTCTCTCCCTGCACCTTCTCAGGCCTTTCTCCTTCGCTTTCCCTTGGCCAGTCTGAATTCCACCCACGCCAGTCTCTCCTTCCACAAACAGCAAAAAGACTGCCTCAGACAAGTCCTTCATGGCCATGAGTCATTCGAGTCTCTGTCACTCATTCACTTGGAAGGACGACTCCAGACGGAAGGCGCTGTGCTTAGGGTCACCAGCTTCTCTCCCTGCCGCTGGCAATGTAACAGCGCTGCAGTGGTCTGTGTTTCTGTTTACCTTAAGCAAGCATCCCCAGGAGACCCTCCAGGAGCAGCAAGCCCCTCAGCTGCGGGCTCTTGGCGTTGCAGGGGGAGGGGTGGAGGCCGCGACCCCTGAGCATCTGCAGCGGGCTCCGCACCTCCACAGGGCCCCGGCGGGAGGGAGGCGCCCAGGGGGCGGCAGCAGAGGGTTGGGGGTGTCGGGCAGGGGGCCGGGGAGAGATCTAAGGGAGCCAGGAAGGAGGCCAGGGTCGTGATGGGAGGAAGGGAAGCAGGAAGGAGGCAGAGGCTAGGCCCAAGGAGCCAGGAAGGAGGCCGAGGGAAGACTGGAGGGAGCTGCAAGTAAGGAGGGGGGTGGGGGTAGGGAGTAGGCGGGGAGGCCGGAGGGAAGCCAGGAAGGAGGCCGGGGGAGGCCGGAGGGAAGCCAGGAAGGAGGCCGGGGGAGGCCGGAGGGAAGCCAGGAAGGAGGCCGGGGGGAACAGAGCGGAGGCCGGTGGAGTCTCAGAAGCGCCCGGGTGGCGCCGGGCCTCACCTCTGGAAAACGTTCCACAAGAAGCTCTGGTCGGGCAGCGACGCGCCTCCAGCTGGGCCGGCCCCGGGGCCCGGGCGGTAGGAGTAGGCGGCCATGGGCCCAGGCGCTCCGCTGGGCTGAGGTCCCCTGGGAACGCGAGAGGCCCGGGGCGGCTCCACTTCCGCCTCTGCTGGGGAGGGGCCTGGCACTTACGCCACTTCCGGGGCCACACGAAGGCGGGGTCTCCCCGCGGGCGGCGCCGGCGCTGCAGAGCCCTTCGCCGCCCGGTTGCTAGGCGACGCCCGGGGCTGCCGCCCGCGGCGGCTCAGGGCCGGGGCTGTGCGGGTGCTCGCGGCGGCCGCCTCCGGACTCGCGGAGCCGCATGCGGAAGGCGCTCAGGCCGCAGGGCAGAGGGACGAGAGGCGCGGAGGGGGCTCCCCTCGAGCGTGTTTAATTCTTGTTCCAAGAAGTGCTGGAAGGGAGTGTGACCGAAGGGAAGAACACGCTTTTCCGGAGCGTTTCGGTCTCCCCGTGCGTCGTCCTGTGGCGTCACCTGCCCCTCACCGGCAGCCCCGCCCGCTGGGGAGCCCCTGCCAGCTTCGGGGCGGGGGGTCCTGCGGGGCCTCAGGGCCGGGCCCACTCAGGGGAGAGCCCCGAGGACGCGCGTGCGGCCGCACCCTGGGCCGGCGGCCGCACCCGCCCGGTGTCCTGGTTCTGGGTCGCCAGGCGACATGCGTGCGGACTCCGTCAGGTTCCCCGGGGGACGTGGGTGTTCCGTGACGCCGGCTTCACCGAAAGGACTCCTCTCAAACCTCCGCAACAAGCCGAGGCTTTCCCACGCCTCAGTGAATTCAGATGGTTTCTCAGTTTCCCCTCACGAAGTAGTCACTGAGCCATCTTTTCTAGAACTTTCCACAGCGCTAGGCTCTGTGGCTTCTGAAGCCCATCTTTTGTCTGTCTCCCGTCTCTGGCTCCTCTTCCGTTCTAACTCACAAAAGTGATAGCTAGGGTTTTGCGACACAATTGGCAGGGAAACTTCAGGTCACGTCCCAGCGGCGGCAGCAGGCCCGGGGCCCCCTCTCCCGCCGGTTGGTGCCGGGCGTGCTCAGGAGGAGGCACACTCCACCCTCGCGGCTGTGTGTGTGGTCCTCAGGCCGGGGCCTCCGGGCCACCTGCAAAGGCCGCACCTTCCTGATGAGAAACCCGGGCCGCCTAAGATCAGACAGGCAAGCCCAGGCCTCCCTTCAGGCTGACTCTTAAAAGGGGCATTAATTACTAGGAAACTACTAGGAAACGAAGGTTTAAAGAAAATCCTGCCCCTCCCTCCACCAATGTAGCGCTACAAATGTACAGATCGATCTAGAAGGCTTCATCAGACACTGGCCTGGGGCAGTCTGTCCGGGGGCAGTCCCTCCCTTCACCTCAGCCCTCATTTCTAATGAGCCTCTGGCTCCAAGAGTCTGGACAGAATGCAGCAGGTCGGCCAGGGCACCTGTGCCATGCTGTTAGGGCAGGACCAAGTCTTGCAGTCCTCGCCATGAGCCACTGCCATCGATGCGGAGGGTGTCGCCTGCTGTCCTGTCGCTCGGTTACAAAGATGCGCAGCCACAGGGGTGACCGCCTACTTGCCAACAGAAAGAGGCAGATCAGCCCCTGCTCAGTTCCACTGACTCAATCACTTAAAGTATTAATGTACTTGCCACTATCCCCTCGCCTATCTTGGGATTCAGTTCCCTCCTAACCAGGTCTGTTCTAAGCAGATGTAGTGCTCCCGGATTGGATGGGAGAGTAGAGAAATAAACTGAAAGGTAACACTGCTCTCTTCCTCCTATTAATGTTAGCACACAATGTGTCTAATGTTGGGGCCAGTTGGAAAATGCCTTTTATTATCCTTATAATTTTTCTAAACATTGGCTCTTTCTGGGTCCTAGCATTCCTAACCCTTCACAGTCCACCCTCTTGTTCATCTTATGTCTTTGGCATATAGTAAACCCTCAATAAATGTTAAACAAATGGATGACCAAGTAAGTTATGTGTCTGTTCTTGACTGGCCAAAAGTTGGTGATTCATAAGCACTTTTGGAATAAATCAAGCCATCTTAGGAGTCTAAATTTTGGGGAAAACTTAGAAAACACTCCTGACTCTATGGATACACAACAAAGGACGCAGATTCTTAAAAACTGCGGCCATTCCTGTGCAGGCTCTGCTTTCCCTCTGCACAACGGATGTTCCCTCTGGCTCGCCCAAGGCTTCCTCAACTTACTTGACCTGGGAGGTGGCATCTGGGCACGCAGACAGCTTCCCGTGGGCAGCTCTTGCCTGGACCAGGATCTGGGTGGAGGGGTGCCCTTCAGGCCAAGTGCTGGAGCCTCACTCACAATAGGAATCAAAGGGCAGAGAAGGGCCAGGGAAGCTATGAAATCCTAGAGATTGCCTGTCTCTTCCTCACATTGGGCAGTTTTCAGATGAACGGGTGAGGTGGAGGCCAGGAGACCCACTGGGAGGCTGCTGACCACATTGTGTATGTATCCACACTAACATCTTTCCCTCTGAAGCCACTTTGATTCGTTGTTTGTGCCGGTTTTCTCATCAGAACCACCAACGGCTTGCACTGTGACCTTTACATGCTAGAAAACTTCCCTGTCACTTTCCCTTTTAGACTCTGGTGCAGAATTCTAGGAGACACAGCCAACTGTGTCCAGGCCTCCCCTTCCTTTCCGACCAAGGTTCTTGTCAGAATTCAGTATGAAAGAGAATGACTTACCACTTTTTATTTAACTCAGATGTCCTACTAAGTGGTGGTCAAGTTATATGTGCTGTTTAGTGTAAGATACTAGCAAATGTCTATATTGGTGTTGGCCAACCTAACTTTCTGCAACGATGGAATTGCTCTGCTGTCCAGTGTGGGAGCCACTCACATGTAGCTACTGAGCACTTGAAATGGATCAAGGTGACCGGGGAATGTAATTTTAAGTTTAATGTAATTTTAGTGAACTTAAAATAGCTATGTGGCTATGGCTAATGCTATGGGCCGTTTAAGAATATTGTTCTGTATCTTTTTTGCTTCTTTGGATCCATATTAGAAATCACATCTCTCGGGTCAGCATCCTAGTTTTTTACCTTGATGCACATTTAAAAAAAAAAATTTCTCTGGTGTGTCACTTCCCCTACATGTGGGTTTTCTTAGAAACCTTGAATACACATTGCATAAAACATTTCCAGTATGAAATATTCTGTCCCACAGAAACTTGCATTTCCAGACCACCTACTCCCCAGTGGTTTTCTTGGTTTCAGAATGCTCATGAAAATGGTCTGCAGGTTGATTTTTGGTTGAGAAGTAGCAGACATAAGGAAACCACTGCCCTCCGTTCTTTGAAACCAAACAGCCCTTCTTTTATCATCCTTCATGGACATGGCTTTGCCAGCTTTTCATTCATTGTCCCAACACTTAAATGATGCTTAGATGCCCATATTTATACTTCCACTTCTGCAAAATTCTTTGGCCATACTTTGTTTCAGCTGCTGGTTGGGATGGAGGTCTGAGGTTGTCCGTCGTCTTTCCACCTGTTATTTTTTCCTGAAAATCACCTCCTTCATGTTTGTTGAACCACATCATCCCATGAAGGTGGTTTTCAAAGTTGGTCCCTGAACATATTACAAATGCAGATTCTACTGAACCAGATGTCCTGGGTAGGGTCAGGAATTATTCAACAATCCCTCCAGGTGACTCTGATATACATCCAAGT